TATTTGTAAAATGTCAGTCAATCGTCTCAAACTTCATTGTTCTTTTGTTTCCACACCAATCACTCTCTATTCTCGTTCTCTTCTCTTCAATCTTCTTAATCTTTTGCCACCAGGTATTTCACTGTCGTTCGATGATACATGCTACTTATATTTATGGGCATCAGTAGTAGCACACACCACACTCATCCCCCCTTTAAAATGGTTGTTCTCGCGGTTATTCTGCTCGCCATGCCATTTTCTTTTCTGCAGTCTGTGCCACGCTTTCCCCTAAAATGCCGAGTCTGCCGTGCGTCGATATTTCGGGTTACCAAAATCCGACGTACACCCAGCAGGCGGGAAGTTCAACAACTGCGCTTCAGCGACCTGGTGGGCCATCTACAACCGTCGTTCGCTCAGCAGCCGCACGTCCAACCACTCACTGTTCGTCGATAGCACCCGCTACAGCCAACACCGCCTCTCCAGAACACTACTCGACGTCACCTCTCCGCATCATACCGCTCTAACTAGCACCTCAGCTTTAGATCCGCAACAGCGTCCACAAAACATTACTCTTCCTCGTTCCTGGTTGGTAGCGACACCAAATGTAGTGCACAAGAACTCAAGTGGGAACAACCGAATGCACTCGAATATAAAATTATAGAACGTCTTAAAAACTCAGAGAACTATGTAGTAAATACTTCATTTGCAAAATATCAATCAATCGTCTCAGACTTCATTGTTCTTTCGTTTCCACATCAATCACTCTCTGTTCTCGTTCTCTTCTCTTAAATCTTCTTAATCTTTTGCCACCAGGTATTTCACTTTCGTTTGACGACACATACTACTTATATCTATCGACATCAGTAGCACACACCATAGTACTTCTTTTTCAATAAAAAAACTATGCTAGACATCTTTATCTTTTATAAACTGTAACGATTTATGTGTATCATTTTTTTGTTTCAAATGAAACTTTTCATCAAATAATTTATCTTAATAAAACCAATGAAACAGAATAAACCCTGACAAATACACACACACACACACAAACGAACACAATTATATCGTTAGTAACTCAACTATCTTACCGACTAATTAGAAGTTTTATACACAAGAATAATAAATAATACTGTAACACTCAAGTTAAATTACGTTTTATAAAATTTACTTTTATTAAAGATATAGATCGAGACAATATCTTATTGAGTGATAATGTCAAATGAAACACTACTGGATTATGCTAAACACAGTTAAATGAGATAATAATGAATACATAATTTGAAATAAGGAAACAACAATAACTAAGCTGACATTTTAAATGCATAATGCACAATTGAACAATATCAGTATGATTCCTTAAGATTTTTCAAGTCTACTTACATTACGTTACGTCACGTTACTTACTTACACCTGTTACTCCTCGTGGAGGAAAACAGGCCACCTACCAGCACTCTCCATCCAACCCTGTCCAAATCAATCCTTTCCAGCTCTTCCCAGTTGTTATTCATCTTTCTTGTATCTGATTCTATTTCCCGACGTAATGTGTTATTTGGCCTTCCTCTTCTTCGCTTCCCTTCAGGATTCCAAGTTGGGGCTTCCCTCGTTATGCGTTTTGATGATTTCCGTAATATATGTCCTATCCATTTTGAGAGTATTTTCGTAATTTCCTCTTCAGCTGGAAGCTGTTTTGTCCTCTCTTACAGAAAACTGTTACTGATGGTAACCGGCCAATGGATGTTGAGTATCTTGTGTAGAAAACCATTTATAAATACTTGTACCTTCTTGATGACGGTTGTACTAGTTCTCCAATTTCATCTCCGTACAGTAGAACTGCCTTGACGTTGGTATTGAAGATTCTCACTTTGATATTGGTTGAAAGTTGTTTTGAGTTCCATATGTTCTTCAATTGTAGGAATGCGGCCCTTGCTTTGCCAATCATCGCCTTCACGTCTGCATCTAAACCTCCTTGTTCATCGATGATGCTTCCCAGATAAGTGAAGGATTCTACATCTTCCAGAGTTTCACCATGAAGAGTGATTGAACTGCTGTTCTCCGTGTTGTATTTGAGGACCTTGGTTTTCCCCTTGTGTATGTTGAGGCCTACTGATGCAGAGACTGCTGATACACTGGTTGTCTTTATATGCATTAGGAGGGCTAGGTCATCTGCAAAGTTCCTACTTACGTTAGTCAACATTAAAAAAAAACATATTCTAAAATTATGAGTTGTTATTATGATAAAGTAAATCATTAAGAAAAATGTTATTGTTGTAAAACAAGGAACCGGTGATGTAAATACAGACCTTTCGGTTACATAATAGGTTATACCTCATAACTGAGTGAGTAAACTTGAAGATTTCTTTCTTTACTATTGCGATTAATTGGTTTGTAGATGAAATAAAACCCGTCAGTCATCCATAAAGTAGGACCAGGCACATGTGAGTGTACACACCGACGCCACAGTGATCGATTCTGAGCCATGTCACCCACAGTCTTCAACCATTGGTTAAGATAGTCACGCGGACCCCAACCAAGTGGTCTGCATCTACCTACATGGCTCAGACCAGAAGCTATTAAGTTTCGATAATCAATTAGATACTTCAGAATAATATACAATCTTTCAGGACTGTGCATTCCCTAGTTTTTTTCCATATCTCATATCAAAACAACAAAGAAACAAATTAACAGAAATTAAAGATTAACCAAGAAATATAATGATTAACGTCGGAGGAGAAAATTGAACAATAGAAATACTGAGAATTAGAAGTATAAAATAAGATTTAGATCGAGACATATCTGGCACTAAACTATGAATGCAACTAAATCAATGTTACCGATATTGTAGGATATCATATATTGGGTCTTATAACTACAGATTATGACTATTGTGTATGATTTAACAAAAAACGTAATTGCTTCAGTCTGATAAGACCAAAAGTCAATAATCTCATGTCATTAATATCTGCTACTGGCTTTGATTGCCAAAATATATTATTGCAAGGGATGCATACTATACTTCCAAACATCCCAGCTAACGAGCATTCATAATTTTGTAAATCGACGTAACATTTCTGTTTAACACGATAAACAGTTTTCACAATCAAATTCACTTGGTATTGTTTACTTGAATCTTCCCATTGATGTTTAGGACTGTAATGGATCAGTCTACTATTGGCATATTTGCATACTGTGCGTATTACCTCTATATTGCCTTAATTCACAAACAGTATAAGCAAAGATGTACAAGCAAGTGGCTATCAGGACTCAGTAGCTGAGTGGATAACGCGATGGCGTACTGGGTTCGAGTACCGGAGCGGACATCAACTCTGGGATGCAGGTACATTCATCACTTTGGTAGAGATCTTTCTAACGATGCTTTCTAAAGATAGTAATATTATTATGTGATGGAATAAACATATGTAATATTCGATAATTGAATTTCATCTGATTATCCACAAGTAATCATTCTTAATGCAAGTTATGAAATTATTTATCTAAAGTTGTACTATTACAAAGTAAACCTTTATTAGTTCACTTTTTCTAATTATCATTATGTAATCATTAAGTTAGAAATAGTTGATTAATCAACACAAAATTAGGTATAATTTTCATCTTTTTTTAATGAGCATTTGTGTACTTAAATCTTTTAGTTCTATTTTACTTCAATAAGAAATTTAATTACAGGGAATAAGTTGAAACTATTCGTGAATTTCTTTCACTGATATATACTTACTAAAGTTGATCTAAGAATACATAGATGATATTGTTTTATTACAAAATCTTTCTTCCTGTACTATATCCTTATATGCAATCTTTCTTTTATATATTACCACCACTGAATTAACTATTCCTATGAATCCAGTGTTCATCTTGCTGTGCTAATGCGGTATAGCAACTTGAACTGATGCGTATATGTGCCTGGTTCCACGTTGTAGCTGACTGACTGATTGTTTCATTAGTTTTTTTTAAAAAGTATATTTGGACAAATAATTGATAACTTCTTTTATTGCATATTGAATCAGTACAAACTAACTCATCGCTGTATTAACAGGTTAATAATTATATAATCCGGTAATTTTATCATGAAATCTTTTGATTCTTAAACTTAATAGGCATCATATTATACTGTTCAGTATTAAAGTTTAATTTTACAGTCGTATAAACTAAATATCTATAAAGTATCCTAAAATGAAGAAATACATCTATTTTCAGGTGTTTTTTGTCCAAATAAAACTGTTAGCCATTTTTTCAAATAAAGTGGGTCTGGTTGGAATATCAAATAACAGATCATAAAATAATGATTTTACATCCAATGTTACCATATAATATCAAATGTTTATTACATAATGTAGTTTTATCTAGTATATTGAGAAGTTCAGTAGATGTTACAGCAATGTAACTGATACCGTTAGGATTAGATAATAGACGTTCATTAATACATATATCTCTATATTTACCAGCTAATAGATTATATGATTACTCTTTCAACAATAGACACAAAAGTTTATAAACTGTTAGTCACGTGAGATTATATACATTAAGCTGCAAGTGACGATAGAAAGATTTCACATCTAAAATAAATATGGTCGCTGTAAACAATTATATTTAACTTAGTATTTTGTGTCTAGAACTATGAATAACAAACATATCAAACGCTGACTCCAATGAAACACTTTATAAATTCGATAAACTGTTCCGAGAAATAAACGTATCTATCTTTTTCACATCGGTTAAAAATTTTTTTCAGAGACCTATAAAACGATCATTTCAGTTATCAAACTATCATTCTCACTTGAATAAGGAGTAGATAGACTGACTCTTTACAATATGTTTGTTACCTATTGATTTTTTCCACGTCAACAGTATAATAGTGTCAACTTACGTAGCTGTCGACTGAGCTGCCTAAAAAAGTACCCTTACCTTACAGGATAATTCATGAAATGTTTTTGATTGAAAAAAATCAGTCTAGTAAATTATATTCACATAGACTGTTGATTAAATAATACAGCCCATTAAACACCTACTTTAGTGATTCAGAGCCTTAAATTTATTGAATAATGGCTGTGTGAATGTCCAGTGGTAAGAACGTTGTCCCACAATGGTTGAAAGGAGCAAGTAGGTAAATAAGTGACTGCTGATCAAAGGATAGTCAGTTAAAACCACATATTGATACAATTATTCTACTATAAAATAAAAAATCAAAGTTCTTTAAGTCATTTGTGACGAGATTTTGGGTTCATTTTCAAGGAATATTTATCAAAAGTCGTATCACAAAAATTTTTTTATCGATAAATAACATTAGTTTTTACACAAAACGTGTTACTAAACTTAGTCTGAATTTTTATTTGATACTTTTCAGTAAAAAAACAAGCTTGTTATTTTCATATGCTTTAGAAAAAACTGATATCCTCAACTCATCATGTGTATGCCCCTAAACTCAAGTTAACTAGTGATTTTGTTGAAAGAAGAAAGTGGTATTAATTTCCGAAAATAAAATGTCATCCTTTTCTTTGCAATATATCCATGCTATTTGTCATCCCAAGGGCAATATGACTTAGATTTAGAGATTTGCTGATCTAATAAACAGTTTTGTTTTGTGTTAATACACCTAAAACTTTTTGATAAACTCAACAGTCTAAATAAATTGTATGGCATTTAAATATTTCGCCATCGAATTCGAGAATCCTTTCTACTAAGCCGCAAGGACTTATCTATTGTATAATGACAAGACTGTACCCGAATTGCTTGGCTTTTTTAATCACAATGGCTCTGGAGTTCTCTAGTAACAGTTTTTAGTTTTGAGGGTATCATTCAACGTAAGTTGGTCACTTAGTTAATTCAATTTACTTATATGTTCAGAAATTACTGAGATGTGCAAGACTTTGTAAGAAGAAAAGGATATTTTAGAGCTTCACATTGGCCTTTATGCAATATGTGTATGGTTCGAAAAATAATATAAACACTCAGTGTTAAAAATGTGTAGGGGTGAGTATGAAACATGAAGTTGTAAATAAATGAATTCTTTATGATACCGAATTATTAACCATTTCGTCGTAAACCCATCAACAAGTTATATATTTTTATGTGCAAAAAGTTATTTCTATTAATATAAGCAAATCGTCCTTCAAAAAATTGTAACATAATTAACAAAGGACTGAATAACAATAACTGTGACAGCCGTTACCGGCCTAAAATTATCTAAATAAGTTATTCCAGCATATGTAATGGTCTGGCACATTTTATTTATGTCATATTGACTCCCTAAAATGATTAGGGAATTCGTGTACCATCCACTTATATTTCAAACTCAAGTTGACGACATATATAAATCAGTAAATAACTGGATACTTGATGGCTAACAGCCAAATTAGGCACATATATTCAAGATCTCAGACCGTTTATTTAGGCTCGTAAATAATACATTCTTTAAGCTATTCCAGGAAAAGAAAATTAGACAGACTTAATTAGCAGAACAAACACGTTTTTATAGCTGACTTTGAAGGTACAACGCTGCATGACGATTAGTTTTATTTTTCAACGCACTTGCATACACAATATCAGACTTTAATAAAATTGGCAGAAACCGATTAATCTTAAAGTTCTATTCAAAATACGGAAGTCTTATTTATAACCTCAGAAAGACAGATTGAAATATGTGATAGCACACTAATATGGCTTTCTGTTTAGAGGACGAACTGTAAAACATCATTTCTACATGCTGTGTCATAGAATGTTATTAACATTTGATTATTCTGTGATAAATCTACCTGCTCTCCACATTGTGGAGATAGGCCTGATTTTTGGTTATTATACTTTTTGGTCCACCACAACATATGTTGTGGTGGACCAAAGCTGGCAGATTGGGATATAAATTTAAAGAAAAACCAAAGCTATATACTACGCTCGAGGTATGAGAAAAAAATTCCAGAGTCATCCATTTGATGTAAATAAATCCAAGTTGTTAATCGGACAAATTTTTACTATGATTTTACACAAGGAACGTGTCTATTTAAAGCCAAGTCACGTACTTTTGATAAATGATAGGTGTAATACTAAATCAAAAGGAAGGACTGAGATTGTTATAGTATTATTCATACCACTAAACAAAAATCAAAATAAGAGAGTAACGTACATAAATACAAAGTATGTTTATTAAAAGCAGCTAACCAAATAGACGCTCAATCATAAAGCCGCAGTCCCTTAACGCGAAAAATGATGCAGTATAACAAGAATATAACAAGAATGAACCATATTTGATTAAGATGGGTAAGATTCACTCATGACTTTTTTCACACTATGAGATTGATAATAGCCACTAAATATTCATTGTTTCACTAATCACAACGTATCTTATAAACTACCCTGGAAATGACAAATACTGGAGGTACGTTCAACACTATCATGTAAACTAAATACACCACACCATGGAACTACTTGTTACTCTTGCGATCATTCAGTTAATGGTTTTAGCAAACTGAAAAACGATTTGATTAATGATTAAATTTATTGTCCTAGCTTTTATGATACGCGTTGAAAACCTGAGATTATTCAAGGTTGTGATAGTGTTCTGGAACATGTATTTACATTGACGTAACTGGAACATTCAGTTTAAAATATGCTTTTTCTCGTTTATGGTTGCATCTCAATAAATGCGAACTCAAATTAATAGTTTTATTAGCTCTTCACAACAGTGGAATGTCAAGCATAACGATACAGTATAAATCACAATAGACAATGCGCTGATGAATAACTTTATAGTGGTAAATAAATCTCCAAAATGATGAGTTCTGTAGATCTTCTACATTCATGCTGACCTCATGTGTTCTACGGGACACATTTCAGCTGAAGGCGCCCGGTCACGCATCCGCGTCAGATCACGAGTTGCTACGCCGTGCTAAGCATCATTTGTGACATCTAGTCAGTTTAGATTAAGCGCTTTTTGACACATGGATAGCCTTTCAAATATAACTTTGGACCTCTTCATTTCTGAATTCTGGTTTGACTGGAATGGCATATTACGATTATAGAGGTAAATGTACGTAATTGCTTAACTGTGGTCAGTACTAGATAATCGAGATTGGTCGCCACTTTACTTGTCGGAGTGCGGATGCTTTGAGCATCAGTAGTGTATCAAAGAACATCTAGGAAGTCGGTGCTGATTTGGCATCTCTGAGTGCTTACAGTAATTCTGTGTTTTTAGAGTCGTTCGAAAACAAGGTCCAGATATTGGAGATGAGATTTTCTATCCCGACGTGCAATCATGAAATTCCCAAGTCCATCGTATGATCAAATTCACTTTTAGCCAACATTAGCTTCTCAAGAGCTAGTCGGAGAGCATTCAGAAATAGAGGTGGTCATGTGGTCGTGATATAGTGTTAAACATTGCTGGTTAAACAGGGTGATTGAAGTCGCATTTGGCACATATCAGGGTTCCTATCACGTATCCGTTGGTAGTATTGGCCGATTATGTACCTTACGTCGACTGGGGATAACCCGCAACTGGAAAAAAGGCTACACGAACAGATAAATTAGTATTTCCGTCTACTAACCTCAGTTTGCGCGTGTCGATGAGTATGTTATGATGTTGTAGCAGGTTTATGCAAAGGATTGGAACAGAAACTTCTGAAATAACGAAGATCCAATGAATGAGTTTATATGAACCTACGTTAAGATACACGTAACATTTATCTTATATGTCAATGTGCTTCCTGTTTGCCGACTGTAAGTCGGACAGCGGTTCGTGCAGTCAGTTGTAACGATTTGCGGGAAGAATGTTAACTTCTGCGCCAATGTCGACGAGATGGAGAACTTTCGACATCATATCAATGGTCTATAAGAGAAAGCTGTGTTTGCCGGCTGCAGTCGCCGTTAACACGTGTCAGCGGAAAAGATTCGCAAAGCGGTTTTCTGTCGGATGGTTTGGAGTTTGAGAAACTGAGTGGTTTTCTGACATTTCCAAAGGATTAATCGGATTTATTGTGGTGCTAACACCAACCTGAATTATCTGCCTCTCGTAGCCTAGAGACGAATCATTGTCGTGACAAGGTTCTGCGAGGAGTTTGAGGGCATCTACGGTTATGTTGGATGTTGAGGTAATGCGTCAATGTGAAAGAGGTCTGTAAAGTCATTTCGTATGGTTTGAAGTTTTTCTTTAACCGAATAATCCTCGTCATTAATGGTTTGGATGATCGGCAGAATCCGGTCAGCATATGTATCCAGCTCGTACATGACGTTGTTTTAAAGTGAGACTAGAACTGCCTTAATATGTTGGCGTAGTTCTGATAATAAAAGCTGTCTAAACAGGCACTCGTCAAAGATCTGTTGACCAAGGATTTTTACATACATAGCAACACTTCTGTTGCTGATCCTTATTGTAACCCGATTTTGAGGAGAAGTTTGGTTAGACTTCGTCAGCTGGTTAGGCCTACACGTTTAAGAATAAGCTCCTTCAAAGTGTCGTAGTCTTATGAACCATCACTAATTAACATGCTAGACGTAACTTATTTATTTTAAAAAATGGCATGGCAATGCCTTCATTAGTGCGAGGAATTAGGCACATGCGTCTGTCACTGCCTGCTCACGGAAGTCAGGTTATATGTAGCAGAACCAGGTTTCAGTATTATCGGGTCAGAATGGTAAGAGCTGAAATGTGGGAGACGAAAGGGGTTCAATCTTAGGTTGCTTGAGTCGCTGTCCTGTCACGATGATATATTATATCAGTGAGCCAGAAAAAATATCGGAAAACATGCGAACCATCTCATTGTCTATCAAATCGAAAATTGAAAATAACGTATAAATTTCCAACAAGGAACAGATCAACAGTTTACCGTTTGGTGTGCCAGGTCACGTCGGTCTCATCACAAAAGACGTCACAAGTATTCGGAGTTTAAGATACATTCACACGTATCACTTTTATAGTCGTAATATGCCATTCCAGTCAAACCAGAATTCAGAAATGAAGAGGTCCAAAGTTATATTTGAAAGGCTATCCATGTGTCAAAAAGCGCTTAATCTAAACTGACTAGATGTCACAAATGATGCTTAGCACGGCGTAGCAACTCGTGATCTGACGCGGATGCGTGACCGGGCGCCTTCAGCTGAAATGTGTCCCGTAGAACACATGAGGTCAGCATGAATGTAGAAGATCTACAGAACTCATTATTTTGGAGATTTATATACTGATGCATTTTCTGTAGCACAAGATTCGTACAAAAAATTAATGAACAATCAATTTTTGAGACCTAGCAAGAAGTGTGTTACTTTCAGTTTTTTCATACAGAGTAGGAGGAGCTTCACGCTTTTGGCTGTGGTATTTTTAGGATTATAGTTAGTTGAAATCAACAGGGAATAGGACATTTTAAAGTCAGCAAGTTTAGTATCAATATAAAAACTCTGGAAGTCTATATAATTTGGAAGGCTATTCACACTAAAACGCTGCTTAATGATTTTTATTCTAGAAGCTTCTTCTAGGCTTGTTTCTAACCCCCATAAACAATTTACTCTATCGAGTCAACTGGCTTTGAAAGGGAAATGCGAATGATATTACACAACGAGCCCCCACTTCTTGTTAGATATTATCATTTTTATCATTATTATTTAGTCAAAACACAACTGTAGGGCCACTGAAACCTCACTATCCACTGGCCAGAAGGCAGATTTTTTAAAACCAAGAGTTAACCGAATTTGATCAAGGTCAGTATGGTCAACTTAGGGTTGATCAATTGCTTGCCGTGGGCAAGATCATGCAGCTGCCGTACCGTTCTGTATTTCTGCACACTATTGATAATAAAATAAGCTACTACCCACTGAGATTACTTATTCTAGACAGACACCGGGTAATCATGATAGTATGGTTCAGTTTACAGTGATGTATGAATCCAACACAAGCTAGAAGGTCACATCATTCCCGTCCAACTCCAGTAGTCTTACAATCATTGACATAGATCATCGACGTTACTGCTCTACACTAGTTAGAAAAACTTTGAGTAATCCAACCATACTGATTGCAGCCCTTACTATTTCATTGTATAGCATTTTCATTCTTACCTTCATCGCATACGTTTATAAATTGCCGCGGACGTTGCCAGTTATGTCTGAAGGTTGAGTGAAATTGAAAATTTGGTGACTATCTCAGCCGATACAACTGATTAATGAGCTAGGATTTTAGTCAGCTATCATAGTTATTTAACAAACATCATCAGAATGTATAAGCTCCCAATAAGTGTTCCTTAAAATATCAATCACTTGTAAATATAGCTGCAAATCAAAGAGGATAGAAATCTGCCGGCAAAATATGCAAAGTACGACTCAACCAGAAACCAACTATAAATTCATCTTCTTGCTTTATTACTTCATGCTATACGCCAGTTTTGCCACAAACAATCCCATAACACTTCTTGCTCGATCATTGCATGCCTTATTTCCGATCAACGAGTTCCATGGTTAGAAAATACAAATGCTGATATCTCGCGTCACGCTTTTATAAAATCGTTACTTCGTCTGGACCTTTTAAACTTTAATCACACTGATCATTATCATCCTTGAAAATGTTTACCATCCAGTTTTTATCTACTGTTATCTTATACGGTAACCCATGATTTGACTTTAATATACGTGTGTCGTGAACGCAACACAGGTTGACAAATAAATTAGTGATCTCTAGAATTTTCTACAGGTCGCGCCATTTTCTTTATATCTATTTTTATTTCCACATGCAACTGTTAAACTAGAAGTACGCAAACGAAAGTGCAACACAACTGTCAGCATGTATAACAACGATTTTGCTTTGATGAGACATCGCAGTATAAATCCAAACTGGTGTGATGCAATTTTGATGTCCGACCCTATGTTCTTTACTTTAAGTAAGTTGTGAAGCTCTAAACGTTGAACTTAACAACTTTGTATCTCTTGTTATCTCACAAAGTAACACATCATTCGATTTCATTACTATACATATGTCATTTTAATTTCGTTTTCGGTTTGGTGATGTTGGGATATTCAGAAAAATATCCCAAAAACAATTATCCGGTTAAGTCTAATGCTACCCTTGAACGTTAAATGGTTTCATTTTCCTATTGGACGTTTCCCTACTAATCAATATTTATTTCGCGTGTCATTTCCCCATTGGTCAATATTATTTCACGTGTTATCTTTCTGTTGGTCAATATTTATAGTAATCCTAACTGTATAAATATGCATTTGTTTGTAAATCAT